AAACGTTTGCCAATGCCCAGAGCTTCCATTCTGCCTACTTGATAATCCTGATCGGCGAAAATCGCGAACCCAAGAACTGGCACTCCGAAGTGGATAGCCTCTTCGCTGCTCTGCAGACCACCTTGGTAAATGAACAACTTGACGTTCGGATGAGCTGCAAAATAATACGATTCGTTGGATGATTTGTCATCAAAAGGCTGAATAATGATCACATGAGGGACTATACCGAGTAGGCTTTGCTGAGGCAACCATTTCGCAATGTAAACATTGTCAGGTTTGCCGGGCAAATCCTCTTCGTGTTTCCAGACTATTCTGTAAGGCAACGTTGCGAACACGTCGCAGAATACGCGTTGAATTTTCACTGGCAATGTTGAGCTTCTAGCGTTGGTACCGAGGCTGAAGTAGATGAATCCTTTTTTCGCGCCGTCTACGAATTCTTGCAAGTCCTGCGACAAGGATAATTCCGATTGAAAAATCGTTGTAGATTTTGGTAGTGTCGATTTGGTGTTAGAAACCAACTGTATCATTAGGTCTGTAAAAGTTTGATGGAAATATCAGATTTGTTCAAATAATTAATAGTACTAAATTTTTCCTTGTATTTAAGTGTTAATTTCCAAATTTTGAATGAAATCCTTTGTTTCTGAGTTCTTTTTTAATGAAACTAAATTAAAAGGTAATTAAAGTGTAATAATTGAGAATCTTTCTGAGAAAAGGACCGATCTGTGTGTTCACTATATCTACAGGATTAACCGTGGTCCTTTGGATGATGGTTACCTTCGGACCGATTAAACGCTTTCTCATTAATGACAATTCCATATTGCATGATAATTGTATGAAAGACTTGCTAACGTAGCTAATGGAAAAAGGAAATTAGAATTCTAAAATTCTAATTTATTTTTTCTTCTTATGGATCCTTTTTTCAAAAAGTATTTAGTATAGAAATAGACACAGTGGTATATAAAATATTATTCACCGCACTATGGATATTATCACTCAACTTGGTAAATATCACAATTGCCGTATTTTAGATAAGTAGAACAATTTTTTATCAGTGTTTCTTAATTATCTGTTATCAGTGTTTCCTAATTATGCATAATTTTGCTCAAAGGTCTAGTTATGACACTGCTGAGTCGGAAACAAGTACAATCGGGCATGTAGTAGAGAAATATTGGCTTAATATAGATTGACAATTTGACGTGTTAGTAAATTTGTACCTTAGGTAGAGGAGGCAGTTTGTCCTGTATATGGAAGGACGTAAATGAGATTGCATTAGCAAGTTGTGGCCGAGCCGGTGATATAGCGATGGCCTGATTAATGAAAACCATACTTGTGTTGTTCTTCATAATGTCTATTAACGGCGGTAGAGGTCCGAGATATTTCTCGGCCAATTGTTGACTAATGGGCAACAATTCGGTGTACATGAAGTGCAAGTAACGCCAGAAGCACACGAAATTCTCTACCCTCTTCAGGAATGGTAAATTCGGACCCGTGTTGGCTTCCATCTCCCACGTGCTCTCATGAGAAGGGAGAGCTAGTCCGCCAAGGACGTGTTCGCTCCATGAAGGTAGCCCAAACGAACTTAACCCTACGGTCATGGGAAATGTGATCAGACGAATTCATGAGGCAATTGTCAGCGTAACCATTATTAACCCAATATTTGCATAATTGCAGAGTTACGGATTAACAAAGATATAGTAATTTCAAGTGAAATACCTTTAATTCTTTTAAATATTTCTACTTTGTTTCTAGCGGGAATGAAATTACCTATTATAATATGAAGGATGTATAAATAAATTCATCATGTGGAGTAGAAATGATAGAGGAATGTATTATTTGAATATGTTACATAATAGTATTATTAATAATTTCTTTATTTAGATGCTTTTTATGAAGAAGCAACTCCTTTGGCAAACAGAATTTCTAAAAATATTATCAGTATGAATAATATTTTATTTTTTAATTAGAGGAGTTTTAAATTTGATGGAGGACCTTCAAAGCTCAGAGACATGCAAGTCATAAAGATATGTACTTTAAGTGCCTTTTCTGAAAAATGTATTTTTCATGGTTGCATAAATTTCTAAACGAAATAACTTGTGAAGGTTAAACAGTGAATAATCAGATTATTTATAGTTTTTTAATATGTAATCGTATGTCATGTATATATGTATATTCGTTCGTGGGTTTCGAAACGAAGTGACAGAAATGAAATTAGTAAGTACCATAACGAATTGTTACATTTTTGTGCAAAAGTGATCTGTAAGATTGGAGTTTATTATTTGCTGCGGTTTTTTTTCTCATTCAAAAAATTTGAAGTTAAATCTTGTAGTTTCACGATTTTCCTTGCTTTTATGCTCATTGCACTACGTGAAAACGGTGTTGTCCGTCACTGTACAAATTGAATTATGATCTCGAATGACTATGAATATGATTTAAAGAAATACCTATTATGGGAACGTTGAACCGATGAGCAATACCGACGGCGGCGGGCCCGAAGAGGTATTCCGTTAGAAGGATGTCAAACTTCGCGTCGCTGTCTGGTGCGTAAATCTTCTTGAATTCCGTATTGTTGAGTATGTTTTCCACAAAATTCACACTGATTGCCATCATTTGCCTTTGTATAAATTGTGTCCATGGTTCCCCGTTGAATCTGGCTTGAACAAAGTTTAATGTGTCAACGATTTCATACGCATGGTTGATGTCGATCTGCGTGAAATTCGGCGAATTGATGTTCGGTATGGGATCCGGTGTGACAAGCACTACTTTGTGTCCTCGTTTGTGTAGCTCCAGCCATAATGCTCGATACGGTATTTGATGGCTGTAGGACGGTGTCGCTATGGTTGCTAGGATTCTGTAACATTCCGTCTTTTCGGCAACGCACAAGGCGCATAGAACGAGGAAGAGGCTGGTGATGTTGCGCTTCATGCTTCTCGTTGATTATCACAACTGGCGTTACGGGTCTTCTAAAAGAGACATGGATTCGTTTATTTATATGGTACGTATGCTGGTCAGACGATATTTACATAATCTATAATTTGATAAAGGGGTAGCCGTTATCGTTGAATTACAGCACAGTATCTTTAACGAGAGTATGCATTTCTTGCGTGAACTTGTTTGGACGCGCGACACGCAGTGTCGCTTCGGCGTATATAGATGTATATGTGTATGTGTATAGTTAATCTTTGAATTACACAGCGGATTTCTTCATAATTTCTCCCGTTTATCTGCATCTCGTTTATAGGATTCATGTTATTTTAAGCTTCGGATATGCGTACTCATATTTAATTAATTTTTGTTATTCGTTTTTGTTATATTTTACTATTCCATTAAATAAGAGTAGGTTATGGAGAAAGCTCTTGGAACCTCTGCGATCCGTAACGTTGAATATGTTTCGTTTTATTACTAATTAGTTGGCCATATTTTATATATTTATATATGTTCTTGGCAAACATGAAAATTAGAAATTGGAACATTTTTTATTACGATTAATTACGTCAGTAAAATGTTTGGCAAAATAAAATTCAACAAAAGTCGAATGGTTTCGAGTGGGACATTAATCGAGATAGTTTATTTTTTAACGTTGTTACATTCGAGGATTAAGTTTGTTGTTAAAGTGAAATCGTATATTTTTTAATCGATTTAATCTTGAATTCTCGTCACTTCGTTTAAAAAAGAATCTGTATGATACTAAAATATGATAAAACTGTTATACTTGTTCCAATGTCGAATTATTTTGTTCTTTCAACAATATTTCATGCTCTTTAGATGTCAGATGGTGTTTTGTTTCTCACATTATCTTTATCACATTGTAATATTCAAATGAAATCACATTGTAATATTCAAAGAAAATTTTTCTCTTGAAAGTGGATTTGTTCTTTTTTCAGACTTGAACTTATTTTTGGATTAAATTCTTTTTTTGTTTAAAATTTGTAAAAAAATAGTCTATGTTCGTGTACCAGCACATACATGTGTCGAATTCTCGAAGAATGTAGAAATATCACTGCACTGATATTTAAAAATCAGATTACGGAAGTGTTAAAATAACATGAGCACGTTTTGTAATAACTGCTGTGTAGTAGTGAAATAAATGTTTATTTTATTCTAATCACAGTAAATAAATAACATTACATATCATTATTCTAGGTTGATTACTAAATACTCCATAAATTATTTTAATTAAAATATCTCTCGAAATTAATGTTTTTCTATGTAAATTGTTTAATACTTTTTTTATAGGAAATGATAGAGATGAATCAATTAGTTTATTAAAGATATACAATTTCGTCTAAGAAAAAAACAAATTTGCTCTTGAAATGCCTTGTGTGAAACCAAATCTCTCACTTCATAATTTTTTCCTTTTGTCAGTTCTCGAAAGAGACAACTTTTTTCCAAAGACAAAACAAAGATTTTGTTCAAGCTCTCGTATGTTGTACTATAATTGTGAACAAAACAGTAAGAACCAACGGTACACAATACCAATGAAATAGTATATTTTTTCATTTAAATGTTCCGTATCGTACAAAAGTTAATGCGTTATTGCAATTTGCAATAATACAAGCATTTGCATATCAGCAATAAGTCAGATAACAAATAGTCGCGCAATAATAATGGATCGCGTATAAGGCGTATATATAGTTTTTTAATGTTTGCAGTTTGCAGTATAAGAAATATGCGAAGATGACGTAACAGTATTCTGATTTTGTTGCACGAGTGAGACGTGGTGCAAGATCGTACCACGGTGATGTGTTCTCCCAGTATTTATTAATATATTCTCGACTGTTTCTTTTTTTCGTTTTGCATATTTCAGCTATTTTATATTCTATACTTTATATTCACAGAAAGTGAAGAGATGTTTTAAAGATTTTCGAAGAAATTTAACGAAACGTGTACCAAGAGTGAAATAAATTCTACTGATGTTTGCGCAGTTTCCCAAATTTTCTAGGAAATTTGAAAAATGTACATGGTATATAAATTGTTCGAAGTATAATCATGTCGTAATTCATAGATTGAGCAAGTTTCATTGCTTTCAGTTGTGCCCGAAAATAGCACGCGTGAAAGTGATGCAACGATTTTCAATATCTAATGATTCAGCAATTAAATAATGATTATATTCTTAATTTTTGATATTCTGAAAGAAGAGAGAGAGGGAAAGAGAAAGAGGTCAATGATTATGTAGTTTTGTCACAGATATATGTGTGTATTTTTCGATAAAAAAATTTGATAATTACGATTTGATAATTACGATGATTCAGCATCACCGAAGCCAATTGAAACTATTTTTATAATTCACAAAATTCGTTTCGCAACTTGTAGAAGGCAATCGACGTGATGCAAATCTCTGCTTAATAGTAATTTAATTCATTTTTTTCTCGTTAAATGTCGATTGTGAAGCGTTCTCTTTCACTCTTCTTCGTTACTGAAGTTCATAGAGAAGGTCTATTTTTCTTAGATCGATATTGATAATGTAAATAATTATTCTGATGGAATACGGATGTACATAATAACGGAAAATTATCACTGTCATAATGTTGTGCAATATAAAACCATGTCGTTAGCGTATTTGTGTATCTAATGCCATACAGCGTATTTGTGTATCTAATACCAATTGCATTTAATCAATTGCCTCATCTCTTTACAATGAAAAAATCTCTTTATGACACACATAAGAGCGTGAACGGATGACATTACGTTGCTCCAGAAACAATCCCGATGTCAAGAAGATAAACAGTGTGATTTAGTGGTATTTGCATAATTTTTGAATATCATTACGAGTATCATTACGTTTCGCAACGCTCGAGTTAGCATAGTTGCTGAGAGGAAATGTCGACAGACTGTTTTATATCTTTATTAGATAAGTATTAGTTACATAATTTGATCTTTGACAGAGGTAATGAAACGATAAATCCGAGTGCATTGAGAACGATCTGAAATCGTGGCTAATGTGTGACACGTGGAAGAATGTATGTACGTGCAACGTGCAGCGATTATGTAACGTGGACAATTGCTTTGTTTCACGTTAATAGAAAATACATTTGTAGATGCGTGACAAAAGCTCATTATGCAAGTCGAGGCAAGTACAAAAAGAATCGACGAGGACGGTTTATCGAATTTTTATGAATTCGTAAAATTTGCACAGATGGGAGAGGAAGAGATGGAACTGAAAATGAGACAAATGTTTAACAAATTCTTGATTACACGTTTTGCAATTGTATCGCAGATCAGTAAAATTCAATAATACGAACTGACTGATTTACTTTATTTAACGTCGATTGTTATCTAATATTATTCACTTACGCACAAACGCGTAAGTAAAATGTCATTTTCGTTGGAAAATTCTTTGAGAATGTACTGAAAACCCCAAACAATTAATCTTTTTATTCTACTTCGAACACCATTATTCTGTTTTTCCACCTTTTGTATTATTAACTTTTTGCACTCAATTGTCTTTTCTAAGGGGATATCATGCTTAAATCTAGCCAACAGTTCGGACTTCTTCTTTTTATAATTTGCTGATAATTATAACGCTTAGAGTGAAAGCTATAACAACGACGTAAGAAGAACAAAAGAATTTCAGAAACAGAAGAAATTTCTGAAGACAGTCTTAAATGAATCAACTGACACTCAGTAATTCACATAAACTCGAAACTTCTTATTGCTTCTTACGAAAGTTGAAAAAACGGTGGAAGATATTACTTTTCCAGAAATTGAAATTATGTGTCATTAACTTTTGTACTATTATACATGTTCTAGCAAATCGGGTTGAAGATTGCTTTAAATTTAAACGATAAAGATATGATTAACAAAATTTCGTGTTCAAATGCCATTTGAATTATTATTTCCAATGCTATGCCATTTTAATTGAGACGATGATGCTTCGTAAATAAATCGCGGGTGGATGATACAAAAATAGTTTTGCCGAGGGCAAAAAGTTGAGACATCGAAGATTGTAAAACGATCTTTTCAAAATACGTCGTGACTTTGTTTAAAAGTAAAAGCTTTGAACATTATTGAATTAACATTTCTATTTTCTATTTTCAACCGCATTCTATTAACATTCTCTCGTCTCGCTCGTGAAATGTGAAATAAAAATTAGAAAATTAACACAAACGTTATTGTACCAGTCTTCAATTATTTTCACGCTTACGTAGTACGCGATCACGCAACTCTAAATTTATCCCAATTTATTTCAATTTATCCGGAGAACCGTGCCAAGAATGATACCAAGAACGATAACAAGATAGTGAATCCAGCAGTGAAATTGGTCGAGAGGAAAGTGAGAGCCAACGGGGGGTTTGGCGGTGGCCAGCGAGCCGTGCCGAAAGAAAAACCGTCCATCAACGCGACAAATAGTTGTCGGTGACTATTTTTCGCCTCCTCGGTGGTTCTCCTCTGGGTTCTCGCTGGTCACGAGGCAGCAGACCGCCGCAAACCGCCGCAAACCGGCGCGGTTTCGTTTCCCCGCAACCGAGGAAAGTGTGAAATCCCACGACGGTTTGTCGCAATGTAACGCGAGAGGCGAAACGATTTTCCGCGTCGAGGCTTGTCAAGTTTCTTAACCGTCCCCCGATGGGGGCACATTGCTCGCCGCCCGCTTAAATCACCGATAATTGCCCGAGCGATCGGGGCCCGGAATTCAATTTCCTTGGAAGTTGGAGAAGGAAAGGAGACGGGAGGGAAACCCGGACAGATTTCCACCGTGGGGACACGTCAACGTTGGATTCTTTTTCAGCGAAACGATCGCGGACGGCGTCGGCGATTGTTTCTTGGGAGTTTCTCGAACAATTTCCACTAGAGCCGGGCTTCGGTGGAAATTGTTAACTGCTGGAAAGTCGTTGTCGGCTGGAGATTGATTGGTCGCCAGGATTGTACGTGAAAGGATTGTCCGGTGAAGGTTTAGAAATTCGGTGAGGTGTTATTTCGCTTGTTCAACGCTCTGACGTGATTCTCTTTAACACTAAAACTGCCGAAGATGTCAAACATT